ATTTTCCATCAAATAAAGCTTCTGGAAATACACACAGTACATATATATATATATTCTATTTATATATGAAACATAATTTATCTAAATCTGATAGTATTGGTTCATTTTCATAGGAGGAATTTTTGATATTTTAGTTTTTATCATTTATTTGTATTTCTTGATATTTCTATAATGATAATATATTGCTTTACAAAAATGTTTTATAGAAAAATAAAAATAAGTTTAGGAAAGTAGGAGTCAAAGATAGCTGAAGTCCATCTCTGAGGTCAACATCATGCAGTAATATCATATTTTCCCAGAAAATATTCTTTGGTGCCACTGTCAGAATTTAAAACTCACTAGATTGAATATTAAGCCTGACTCAGCATGGCATATTTTTTTTGTTCTTATGCTGATGCTTAAAAGCTCTGAAACTCTGTACTCTAGTCAATCCATCTCATCAAATATTTATTGAACACCTACTATGTGCCAAACATTAAGGATATTCAATTAACAAGGCATAGTTCTATTGCAGTTTAACCAAGCATCACATAAAAAATAATTAAAAATAATGCTTCTTTGAAAGACCCAGATAATTGTTTAATGATAGTTTTTAATGATAGGTCAAACAATAACAACAATGACAAAGCCAAGGGACTGGATTGTGGCTCAGTGGTGGAGTACACGCATGTGTAAGCACAGAATTTGAAGTCTGGCATAGCACACACACACACACATACACACACACACACAACACCTGAATATAAATTTATATCCAAGAAAGTTAAGATTAAAAATAAAATGTGTTTTCTATTTAATCTTGTAATATTATGTTGTATTATTGTTGGAAAAAAAATACCTTGTACCTCTTCAGTATTCCAGCACCATTCTTTCGAATAAGTAGCCTTCTCAATAATTTCAGCAGAAATTACTTGAATCTTTTTCATCTTTGATCAATATCTTAATTTGACTTTGAGATACGATGAGAAACTGGTTCTCAAATGAGACAAATTTATTTTTAAAGGCTAAATCAGTATGATTCAAAACAAAAAACCCTGGGTAACAAAAAATGATTGAAATCTTTTAAAATTGGACTTAGGAATATGAATTTTTTAATTACATATAAATGATCAATTATAAATTAAAATACAATTTCAGTTAACTAATATTTATTTCTTCACCTTGTTTTCCATTATTATTTCTATATCCAGAAAGTATTTTTTCTTTATTCTCTTTTCATGGAGTTCCATGAATCAGAGTACAAAGGAACATGGAGGTCCCCTTGTACCACTAATTTATTTTGTGGAAAAAAATCAATTTAAGCACCAAATTAAAACAATTTTAGGGTTATCAATTTACTTGCATATGCCTTATGAAACAGGTACATAATAATTGGCTATTATCATTATCAGAAGTTTGTTCCTTAAATTCCTAAGCCATCACTCCCATTTGTCTCAGATTATTCCATGTTATATTTGGTTAAGCAGGTCTCTGGACTTTGTGCCCCACTCAAGACACTCTACATTTTGGTCTTTTCATGGTATTTAATAAACCAATGTATTCAGTTAGCAAATATTTGAGAACTTACTAAGCTCCAGATATTGTTCTTGGCATTACTTTAAATATTTAGTATTAACAGATTATTAAACAGTTGATACAATGTCAAATTCACATATATTTTATATCTAGTCCTGTGTGTGAATGTTGAAAAGGAAGGGAGGAAGAAGGATGGGGGCTTGGGGGAAGAAGGATGAAAAGGATGAAAAGGAGAGGGAGAGTGGAATGGGGTATGTTTTTCCTCTTATTACCTCATAAAATCTGGTAAATTTTCTATTTTAACATCATTATGAGTTAAATATGTACTATTGAAATAAGCTTGTATCTACGAAGCATGTTTACACTGTTTTCTTTGCTTTAAAATGAAATGCTAATTTTCTCCCCAAACAAATTCTTTATAATTTGAATAGTATGATACTTTCAAAAGCCCTTTATTTGATTAGATTTAGGACATTAAACATGATAGCATAATAATGTTTTATTCTGGGCCTACAGCAAGTTAGTTTTTTAAATAAAAATACTTTGATTATAAGACTCCCTTTACAGAATAAAATCAAATACTGTATGTAATGTTGGTAGGTATACCAGACCTAAAAATACTATTCTCCTTGTTTAAACTACGTCTATTTTAAGTAATTTGATTTCATATATTTTATACTTTTCCCTCATGAAGCATTTGGTCCTATTTATTTCTTTTTTAAAAAATAGATTTGCCATAGCTTTTCTTTTCTGTTGTTATTTGACTTTACTAGTCTTGCTGTCAATGCATGTTAGTCCTTGGGTTCCAGATTGCTTTTCTATGTCCATCTGTGCTGTCCTGCTCTGTCAGTGAAAATTGCTTTTTGCCCAGGGAGGACATCAAAATTTTGATAATCTTTGGCTAGAGCTAGGATAGCCTTTTATCAGTGATGCAAGACAAAAGGTAATAGATTTTTTTTTACTATACATGTATAATTTCTCCCAAATTTTCATCTAGAAGTAAGCAGGAAAAAAAGTTGCAGAACCTCAAAAACAGTGGTGCTGGGCAGTGTGAAAATGTGGGGGTGTTTTCATCTTTGGACCTAAGGACAAAGATCATATCATTGTGACAATACATATTTATAGTAGTTCTTGGACTTTTTGTATGGAGCAAAGGAAAGCTCAAGCATTTCTTAGGGCCAAGGAAATAGCTAAGGATGTGCCTGGGTATACAGTAGGCCCCAGTTTGATCACCAGCACAGGAGGGTACCCAGGTATAAAAGGGCTATAGCCTTTCTGGCCCCAAGTATAAAGGACCAAAACCTTGAGCAATTTTGGGCCACCATCAAGCTTGTAATAGCAGGAGCAGGTATCACTGACAGCTGCCCTGTGGCTTTCTGTGTAATACTCAGGAGAGGCTTCCCTCTAAAGAAATTACTGTTAGGCATAGATACCAAAATGTCAAAGACAGATGGAGGTTCCTTGATGCTTACAAGATCATGTTACAGACAAAGAACAACTTAAAGTTTGAAAGCTAAATTCTAAGTGTGATATAAAATAATACGCTGGGTGTTAAAACCAATGTCAGACTGCTAAATTCTCAATCTGAATCTCTTAATACTGTACTAAACAGTGTTTCTCAACTTTACTTTTAGGTCTAGCTTAGTCCTAATAGATCCCAGTAAAAGAAGAACCCTGAAAGTCTGTGTGAACATGGAGGAGAAAGGCCAGTGCTAAACATTATTGGAAATCCTGGCACCAGATAATAACGAGGCATGGCTCCATAATTTTAAGCTATCTTTTCCACTTACACTTGTATGTACACTGAAGACAGCGCTCACAGAAAGCTGCCAAGGTCCTTGTGTGTACGTCAATGTTTGTTATAACAGCAGTGGGCACTCTGAAACACAAAATGGTAAATAGTATTAAAAAATCCCCACAAAACATAACAATTTTTATTTTATTTTTTATTTAGACACTGTGAAGTTGTTCATGACACAGCTGTTACAGGCACCCAATGTTCCAACACCAGTCCCATCACCAGTGTGAACTTCCCTCCACCAAAGTCCCCAACTTCCCTCTTGCATAGTTTCAAATTCTGCCCCCTTGGCAGGCACAGATTTACTTCATACTGCTTGTTACAACAAAATGGCCAATGGAATCATCAAGAAACAATATATCAATGAAAGAGAATTTGGGATAATTATTATCACTTAAAATGGTGCTACTGAAGTCATTGTCTGAGTACTTTACTGAGCTGGCTGGTGCTTGTAATTGTCTTTTCTCACTGAGATTGGTGAGCTTCTATACAACTTTCCCATCAAATTGGCTATGTTCCTACTGGGCTGTCGGTAATGTGAAATTTGGAGGTGTGGGTCTGTGCTCTCCAGGACCTGTGGAGAGCTGGGACAATTTGGTGGCTTGCCAGATTGCTGAGGTTCAGTTGTGGAGCTGGACCCTTTCTATGCCTCAGAATGTTAGGTGCGGGTAGGGGCTGCTGGGGCCACCAACAGGGAGGGAAATCTGCACTCCCCCAGTCCAAGAGAGCCCCAGGATTCTCAGCAACACAACAATTTTTCATCTTACAAATTTCAAGGCAAAATCTTAAGGCCACCTCTCCTATGTCCGTCTATCTAGGGTCTGTTTTCTCACCTCCTTGGTAGAAGTTGCTTTAAAAAAATTTTTTTTTTTCTTCTTCTTCTAGCAAACCTGCAGACGGCAAATCCTCTCCAGGAAACCACAAACTCTTTCCAAACCCGGACAGCAGTTTTCTTCTCTGTTGGTTGCTGCCTCCCTCTCATCTAGGCATTGGTTTGCAACCCCGGAGTGGTGTGCGCCTTAAATTAGCGAGGCTCTGCCACATACCAGAGGCTCTTCTGGGGTCCGCCCTAGGGATATATATATATATATATATATATATATATATATATATATAATTCCTTTTTTTTTAAGGTGGTGGTAGGGGGTGGGGGTGAAGCGCTCAGACCCGGGCTCGTGCTTACACAAACGGAAACCACTAGCTGCGCCGAAGTGAGTCAAATGATGAAATCAAGACTGCTGGGGAAGGAAGCTCCCCCCAGGGCTCACGAACCTCACTGGTGACACAGGCTGCCGAACCGAGCCCGAGGGTTTCTCGGAGCCTCACCGTCGCTGCCCCAAAAGGGAGACTCCTCGGAGGCACGGCATCCTCCCGTGTCCGAGCAGCGCGTCCCTTCCTTCTGAGAACCGCGGAGGAGGAAGAGAAGTGTGCCGGGAACATCAAGACTTGCAGACTTCCCAGAGCCTCCTCCCCGCCCCCGCACCCCCGACCGTGTCGGGGCTCCAAGGTGACAGTGGCTACCGGGTCGGGTCACGGCACGCAGCCGCCGAGGCAGAGCAGCGAAGACTGGCGGCGCACGGAGAGAGACACGCGGGCAGAGGCCGTCTCGCGCCCGGACGGCGCCCCCGGCCCGCGCGCGCGCTCCACGCTACACACCTGGAGGCTCAGGTAGAGCTTGGGCGGGGCCGGGGGCTGGCGCGCAGGCGCGGGACGGGGGCCTCGCCCCTGCCGACGTCGCAGGCTGGAGCTCACCTGGGAGCCTCGGAGAGGAAGCGTAGCCTGGGTTCGGCCTTTCCTGGCAACGCCGGAGGCCCATCGGGGAGGCAGGAGGCGGCGGCGGAGGAGGAGCCGGACTGAGCGGCAACTGTAGCGACAGCAACCCGAGCCGCCAGCGCCGCCACCTGCACCTGGCGACCGGCCCACGTCCAGCGCCCTCCGCTGCCCGCAACCCTGCCCCGCCCCGCACTGCCCTGCCCACTCGCCAGGTAAGCGGGCGGGGGGGCTCTGGGGCCGGGAGAGGGGACCGTGCAGCCTCGGGGATGCGTCGGAGGAAGAGGTAGGACGGCGCGGAGCTTCACGTGGTGGGGACCGAGCGGAGTTGGGGTTGCGGAGGGCTGCTGGGAGACGGTCCGGGGGGCGACATTTCAGTTGCTCCCCAGGAGAAGCCGGCTGGGGCGCCCGAAACTCTGGGGCGGGGGCCGGGTGGCGTCCCGGCGGGGGGGGGGGGGGGTCTCCTGGTTAGCCCGCGGTACCCTCTGCCCGTTTTCTGTAGCGAGGCTCCGGGGCCCAAGTCTGGGTGGTCGGAGCTTGGGGTCCGGGAGCGTTCCAGCGCGGGCAGAGGGGACCCGGAGTCGGGGTGCGACTCCAGGCGGCGGCGTTTCCTCCGGGGCCAACAGGTTGCTGGGTGTCCTCTGGCCCCCGTACCCCAGGGAAACCCTCCCGCGGCGACAGCCGGGCCCGGCCGGCAACTTTCCCCACGCGCGGCTCCCAGAGCGTCCTGCGCCGGGAGCGCGGCCGCGGCGTCCGTTGAACTGGCCGCGGGCGGGCGGGCGGGGAGCGCTTGGCTGGGCGACTCGGACCTCCTCGGCCGCTTCTGTCTCTGCACTTTCTCGGGTGTGTTCTCGCCAGCGCTGCGCCCACTTTCCGCTTTGATAGGGGGGCTGTTATTTGCTTCGTGGCGGGAGGAAATCCAGCCGCCACCCAACTAACCACATCGCCGCAGCCTCTTGGAAGGAACCTGTTGACTCTAACCGACCTGTGTATCGCTTTGCATGTGGCATATGACTCAAAGGTTATTATTTTTAAAAAAAAAAAAAAAGAAAAAGACAATCCCAAACAGGAGACCGACTTTGCTTCAGGATCCTGCCACGTCTAAATCGGGGTGTGCCAAGCCTAAACTCTTTTCCTTGCCTTAATTAGGCTTTTCTGGAGCCTCCTGATTGCGGGTGAAGCCGGTGCATACCTGGACTCTCGTTTTCTTCTCGAAAACTCATCACGCCACTTCCTTCTCTCTTCCTTCTCAAAAGTTTATGAAAACACAGTACTCCAAATTCAACAATGAATGATTTCTAGTGTTTTAGAATCTCCACTAGGCACTTCTCCCCCTTGATATTTGGAAAATGTTATTAAGCGGACAGAATGTGCTATAGAAACTACATAGTAAAGACATTTAAACTCAAATTCTACTGTTAAAAATCCAGAAAGTTGTTTGAATTTGAGAGTTTCTGGTTGTGGGAAAACCAGCTGCGGCTTTTACTGCATATATTTTTTTCCCCCTTTGAGTTTCTTTAAAGCATGAGATTAAAATCTTTCCCTACAAGCTACAGACCTAGATTTGACTAAATTCAACTTTAATATCTGAAGTCCAGCATCCACGTTAGTTAAACCATTCTGAACAATGTTTTTGTACTATCCATCCTTTTTTTTTCTTTTAGATCACCTTAACCAGCGTCTTTACATAGAAGTTTGGAATAGACATGGCAATCCCACTTTTATAGATTCGTTTAGTCCTATCTTTAATAATATTTAAAAATATTTTAAAATCACACATTTAATATAAATGCCTTAGGCAACACAGACTTTAAAAATTGGTGCAATTAAAAGCAAAAAGTTAGCCACAGCAAACTTCACCAATTATGTTTTAACTATGGGCTGCAGCGATAACACAGTGGGTAGGGCGTTTGCCTTACACGAAGCCAACATGGCTGACCCGAGTTCGATTCCTTCGCCCCTCTCAGAGAGCCCGGCAAGTTACCGAGAGTATCTCGCCTGCACTGCAAAGCCTGGCAAGCTACCCGTGACATATACAATATGCCAAACACAGTAACAAGTCTCACAATGTTACTGGGCCCGCTCGAGCAAATCGATGAACAACCGGAGGACCGTGACCGTATGTTTTAACCAGCACTTTTTGCTTTTCTCAAAAGAGCTTCGCCTGTCTTAGTTTTTCCTCCATACAGAAATAAGTGTACTAACTACTAGTTAGGTGTAGGTGTTGATTCCTGAGTTTAGAGTGTTAAATTTAACATCATTGGTTATTGGGCCAGATGTTACTAGAATATCTTTACTCTCAACACAAGGAAGAGATGTGACATACATATCTGTTTTAGCTAGAGGAATGTTGCGCCTCAGTTTAACTCTCAATAATGTAGGGAAATCATCCCTAGATTCAGATGCACCCTTAAAGCAAATCTGGAATCTCCTCTAGCGTTAGCGTTTTCATGATCCCTTCTCACTTGGAATATCTACTGAGTTCATCCACTTTGTGATGTGCTAAAGCTGGAAGAGGTTTCTAACTTCAATTTACCCAACATCTTAGTGGATTCAGCATTATTGTTACAGTAACTTGACCCAAAGCTCATGCTGTCTTTACTTTTCACCACCTGTATTCTCACTTGTCATAAGATGTTTATCTTTTTGTCATTCATATTGTTTGTAAGGCCTTGCAATTATAGAATACTCAGTTGTCCCTTGTCCAGTTCCAGTTTACCTTATTTCTGCCTCTCTTTGAAGTCTGTCTCTCGAGAGACTGAGCTAGCTCTCATTTTTACCCTATTAGTGTTGATCACGTGACTATTAGTGATGCCATGTGGATTGAGATTTTTAATCCTTCCTGGGTAATTCAGAAACAGTTAATTTTTTGACTCAAAGTGGAAAACATAATTTCATTTTCTGTTATTTTATTTTATTGGCTTAAAATGTATTTTATGAGGCAGTGACCCAGAGTCATCCCTCTATTTGCAACTGTCTAGATTTTTCTTTGGCAAGTGAATTTTTTCGCCATTCATGACTTCTTAACTTTTATTTTTTTTGGGCTGCAATCTTCAATAAGAAAAACATCCTATTCTTAAAGTGCAAACTGCCTTAGAACACAAATGTTCTCAATTCTTTTATCTTAAAAAATAATGGCCTCAACACACTGAATTGATTTTATGACCACAAATGGGCTGGAGCACACAATGAAAGTAGTGGTATTCTATTGACTTTTATATCTTACAAGGCTAATTGTTCAAACAGTATACTCACATATACATGTACATGCATGCACTTGCAAGAAAGAAGGCTAAACTGATATTTTTAATACAGAAAATTATGCTATGATCTTTATTAGTTTTGGAGAATTTCAGATTCCTGAGGGTCATGCTTGCTAGGTTAAAACTCCCATGCAGCCTCTTCATGTATTACTATTTTGAGGGATGTGGCACTCCCAGCAATACTCTGCATGACAGTGCTGGGACTGACAGGTGCTTGGACTCAGCACTGTGCTGCTCTGCCTGGAATTCAGTCCGCAGCACTATATGATTCTCCGTATGCTCTCCTCACAGCCAGGTGTTGCCCTGGGATATTGAGAGATTCAATCTAAATAACCTATAAGCATGTAGGTTTGGAAAATGCATGACCAAGACTTCTATGGAAGCTTTTAATTGTGTTAATTTAATTTTTTTTTAGGTAACACACCCAGTGTTGCTTGAGTATTTGGGGAATCAAATTTATTCTGAGCAATAAACCCTGGCCTTCCTGCATTTACGTTTCTGCCCAAAACTATCTCCTAGTGCCAGAAATTTTATATTCACATTCCTGTAGGAGAATTTTTTTTTTCTAAAGAAAGTACAAGGGTGATCAGTGACCAAATAATCTTCAGATGCATTTAATTCTCTTGCTTATAAAGTATAAAAGTATGTTGGTGGAAGAGAACCTTTATGTATATAAAATCTACTTAAGAAGGAAATATTTTTCAATCTCTATTTAGGCACTAGAATAATTACTTCTATATAAGTTGGGTAATCTTAACACCATTAATGTACGGTCAGTAACAATAATAAAATCAAATCAACAATAAAGTCAAATCATCAGCAAGACACCAAATTGCTTTAATGTAGAGCAAAACAAAGACAGAGAAAGACTCTCAATTCTAGGTCATTGTATAATAGTTTCAGGTTCAAACTTTCTACACTAGTTTGCTCATCTAACCCACTGACTGCTGAATATCTCTAAGATGACTTATTATCTCATATTATACATACATAAGCCAGAACCTTATCCCATTGAAAATATTTTACTTCCTATATTTTATTTCAACTCTTAGTACATTTAGCAATCTTATTCTCTGTTCAAAACCTAAGAGCTCTCTGAAAAATTGAATCGTGGAGAGCTAGTGAGAGGGGCTTACTCTTCAGTGCTCAGCCACTGTGCCGGGCTAGTTGGTCACTCAGGAGACACTCCTATATTTTCCTAGTCTGCATGTGAAATGTGTCCTCCCACCTTTGAGCTGGCTTTACAGCCTAGAAATTGAAAACATTATATAAAATGTTCAAAAACTTGAATTTGTTTGTTGCTCATGAATCTCTCTGTTATTTATCATATGAGGTTGCTGCAAGCAGTATATGATAATACTGCGATTTAATGGTACTATCCCAGGCCCTGCTAGGGATATACTAGTATCATAGGTATGTTAGCCATGTTATCTTTCTAATATTTAAAATATTCTGAATTTGGAACCATTTTTCTCTAGGGGCACGGCAAAGCCTGGCAAGCTACCCGTGACGTGTTCAGTATGCCAAACACAGTAACAAGAAGTTCAAAATGGAGACGTTACTGGGCCTGCTCGAGCAAAATCGATGAACAATGGGAGGACAGTGTTTGTTTGTTTTTTCTCTAGGGATTTTTGAAGAATTCTTTGTAGATTGGTACATGGATAGGTGACATACTAGAAATCCAGGCTCATATGTTACTGTTAGTGTCCACAACTAATGGGTGCTGAATTTGGTTGATGTTTTCCAGCTATTTTTTTTTCCCCTTCACAAAAATGCCTCTCCTATTTCTGCTCTAATTCAGGACTTTAACATTTGACTGGGGTACTCCAGCCACATGCTACCTGATTGACATCTGGAGATGGTTTAGCTCCTCTTCACTAGTACCATGAGGTGTTGCTCCCTTTGTAAATCTGAAGTTGTCTCTTAAAATCTCTGCTTAAAATCTTCAAAAA